TGTGTATGTGTGTGTGTGTGTTGGTATTGTGGTATGGTTTTTGTTATTAATGTATTAATATTCTTAAAGAAAGAGTCATCAGTAGTTAGTAAACAAATAGTTTATGCAATAATTGTTACAGTTCATTGTCAACAACACAGCATTTTCCATTACGATTATAGGCGAAACAAAAATTTATGAAGTAGTCATAGCACATTCATGCTAGTGAGAACATATTACAAAGCATTGCACATGCATCATTACGTGGGCAGATGAAGCTAGGGAAAAGATATTTTTCACTCACCTCTGGTTGGCTTTGTGTATTTTGTCATTGAGACTTACATTATGTTTGGGTCAACCAAGAAACCCAAAGAGGTTTTGTAAAAGTTTACAACCATTAAACGGTATTGTTTAATCCCACAAATGGATAAACCAAACTACTATAGCTCAATGATACACAAACCAGGACTAAAAATAGTCAATCTGCCTATGTATAGCTAGTTATAATACAATACTGAATATGCTGAATCTTTGCAAAGGCATTGACTAATTTAGACAATCAGGTACCAGAAATATACTGGTTTGGTTTCCAGTGAGAACTAACTGTAGTGCTATTTCAGTTGAAGACTGTACTCCCCAGTAGGAGATCTGAGGAGAAACATAGGGGAGGGCAGAGAAGGGTTAGGAGACCTGAGCAGGGCTCTTTGGACAGTTCAGCATTACTTTTTCTTGTGCAGATCCAGACCTGGCTCACAGAGTAAAACAAAATGTGTTGAAATTGTTAGCCCTCAAAAGGGGCATTTGTACAAAGTCGCTTACTTACAGTATAGATAGAATAACTGAGTGCCTCTCAAAATCAACTCTTCCATGTTAGAAGAAAACTCAGTGACAAAGGTTTAAGGATACCAAGATTGAATCACTGTATAAAGATAATTTATCCCAAAATAGAAAAAAGTGAATTTAAAAGAAGTATTCTAGAAACTGGCAGGGGGCAGGGAGACAGGGGAAACAGGAAGAGAAGAAAATCATGCTATGTGTTTCCTTATTTAGAAGAGAAAAAGTTTCATAGACCATTTCCATAAGGCATCTGTCATATCTGCCATTCTCTATCCCATACCTGGCACTGTAAGAGAAAGTGCAATGGTTCAATGTTACCTTTGAAAAGCCTCCTTTTCCTTTGACCAGTTTTATAGCAAGAGTTCCCTGGATTGACTATGCCACACCAGGGTCCCATTTCTCCTTACGTCAAAATGAAAACAACAACAAAGTCACAAAAAGAAAAAAAAAACACAAAACTACAAAATCTAAGGCAAAGACTTGCTATGAGGTCAGAAAATCAGTGAAAGAATTTAAATTACAAAGCACCTCTTGCCAAATTGTACTGCTTGAAACCACACAAAACAGTGTGCAGTAACCCTGCTGAGTGCTTGGAGGCAAATATCCTAAAGGATACATGCTAAGCTCCATGAAGTAAGCTTGATTTCATTTCTAGGGAGCCAAGGGAATCCCAATGCTCTCTGTTATTTGCTGTTTTATAATTACAGACAAAATGGAAAAGAAGTATGCAGACCTCAATATAAAGAGAATGTTTCTCTAATAACTAAGAAACAAGCTGGATTTATGCATTCATAGTTGTATAGCTGCATTATAGATGCTTGCAGAAGATTTATTAACATAGTTTTTACACAAAACCCCTTTTATAAGGACATATTAAATCTAATAGGCTATCCAGAACATAAGCAATGCTTGAAATTGTGCACACAACTATGTGCCTAATAGTAAAGAGGCCTCGAAAAATTATGTCTATAAACCAACCACCACTACCCTTTGGAAATAAAAGCTCCCTCATAACCCCTGGGCTACTTCCCTGTGACCCTGTGACACACAGTGTCACAAACATCATGGAGAAAATTCAGTACCAAACCCTAGTTTAAGGTGAGTTTTGTACACTTATTTCTATACAATCAGGAAAAAAAAAGATACAATTTGTATCAACAAAAGGTCATTTCGGGTTATTTGAGGCATTGCTCCTAGCTACTTTGGTTCATACACATCTTATGAGAGTAGAATGACAATTTGTTTTATAAAATAAAAGATACATATAGCGCATTAGGAATAGTTCCTGTATTGGGAAGAGCTCATGATTATTTTGAGTACTAAATATGATTGTGTTCAAGATGAATTGCAGACAAGATTGATCTTGTGCTTTCCAATAAATTGTGCAGTGAGTGGATACTGCAGTGCCACTCGATGATTTTGGTAGGAAGATAAAACAACTGGCACAAAGGCATTAGATTAATCTAAGGTCAAATACCATGATCTAGACGTGAGACAATTTAGAAGGTCCAAGACATTGAAGGTATGAAGAGGTGTTTGTGTGAAATAGCAAGAACTGTAATTATCACTCTCTGTGGACCTACTTGATAAGAAAATACTTTTATACTTTATCGATATGCTGAGGGATGGGATGATTAGAGGTTAGGAGATGAATGGGAAGCTGTGGAAGAGAAGAGAAACACTAGTTAAGATGCAGTATTGATCAACTTGGACACAGAGAAAGCCAGAAAGCAGCATGCAAGCCATTATCAAACCCCAGAAATAACCTTGACTACAGCCTCACATTCAGAGTGTTTCACAGTAAGAAACATTTATAGGCAGCGTCACACCTTCTCATGAAGAAACAAAAGGCCAAGGCCAGGCCTTCTCAACTTTCATGAAAAAAACGACCATAGAAGTTACTAAGTGCCAGCTCAAGAAATAGTGAGCTGGTTGTGGTTCAAAATGTTGAAATATACAATGGATTCTAAAAGAAGGTTTATTCAGTGCAGCTTAACAAACCAATAGACACCTCTTTCTAGAGGCATTTAGCTACAAAGGTTCCCACCCTGAGCAAGATACAAATTGCGCAAATGGTGCCACCCAACCCAAAAGTCATGCCTTCTTTAGTAATGCATCTAAGAACTATCTAACAGCAAGTGCACTCTTTGAGTGGATTTGAAGTGTATAACTGAGCCAGCTGTTAGCAGAGATGCAACATTCCGTTTTGGAAGCTGCTTTTCTTCCGCCTAGAAAATCCCCTGGTTTTGTTTCTTAAAGAAATTTTGCTTTAGTAATAATTGACCTTATTGCCCAAAGGGTGGACAGCAGGAGAAAACAGATTACATGGCTAAACACTGTCCTCCATTATATTTTATCCTGTGATGTTTAATACTGCATAGGTCAGAAGTCCAAAAAGCATCCATTAGTCCCTCCTTGCGTGAAGCTTTTGTATTTTCATTTACTGTCACGTAGGTTTGGCCATCTTTCATTGGATATGGAGAGTGGACTTTGGTAGTCAGTCCTTTGGTTCTGGTCAGACTCTTCTGCACTTTTGTAGCACATACATACATACATACTATGTGTGGAATTTGAACTTACTCAACAGCTTCTCTGCAGAAGGCTTCAACCTGACCCCTAATGTGCTGAGGTGAAGAAATTTAGAAGCTAAGAAATGTTAATAAGTGCTGGCAAGTAAAAAGGAAATAAAATAAAGCTGGTTTGCTCTGGTGCCTAAGAAAGCAATGTTCATATATCACCACAAAATTTCACATTCAGATCGAGTTGAAACTATGAAATATGATAAAATTCAGTCAGATTCATGATCTGTACAGTTGTAGACTAAGACTGTAGAGCGACCTCAAAGTCACTATATAAAAATTATACCAGAGATATACACACATCTCAAACTAAATATATAGACTCATACATGCAATATACTTGCTAATGATAGGGTTTAAATACAGCTCTAGAAGCTTCAGTGTGACCCTATGGCTTGATTAATAAAGATTGAATTATCAGATATCCATGCAATAAAGTATTTACTTTTAAATAGCTTTAAATATTTTTATTAAAACCCTAAAAGGTTAATTCAGCATACTATCTGATCTTGATGCTTTTGCTCTCTAAATTGGTTATGTCATCCATACTTTGTAACGTAGAACATGTGATTAAGAAAGCGCTGGTAATGGAATCCCTTGGGATTTCTTGCACTTAGGCTTCTTCCCCTGGGTTTCATCTTCCATTACCTGCAATGGTGCAGTGCAAAAGGGCAAGAAACTTGGAGCCAGAATGTGTGTGTTTGTCTTGATTTGGTCATTTGCTAGCAGCATAACCACGGCAGGTCACTTAAATCTTACTGAACTTCATCTTCTTTTCTATGAAATAGAATGTTAATGCAACCTACTTCACAGGGTTGATGTGAGCTTAACTGATGTAAACATTCGGTAACTTTTAAAGCGCAATGTAAATCATTAGTTACTGTAATCATAGTATTAGTGTATTATTAGTATTAATATTTATATGTATTTAAAGGACTGGGTCCTGTGTCATGTCAACGTGCAGCTCTAAGTTTCGCCACAATCAAAGCTGCCAGTTGCTGGGCATCTGATGTGTGGGGATTCTTTTCCATCACTGCAAGAACAATATTAGAAGGGAAAATATTGCAAAGGTTCTTGTAAGTCTGATATTGGTGCTCTGGAATCATATTCTCCCTGGAATCATTGCACATTCCAACCCAAGGATTCCTCCAAAGCTGCTCCATTTTTTCAGGCATGCTCCGTACCATGACTGGCTCATAACATGGCTGCATGAGGCTGTTACTTAAGGGACAGGAGTGATAGCCATAGGAGTCGGTTGCACTGGGCAGCGGGTCCCAACTGGCATGCTGTTCCCGGCACAGAGGAGGTCGTCTTTGCCTCAAGGGGTTGCTCTCATAGAGTCGGGAATCAGAAATGCTGTCCATCCGAGTCATCACTAGAGCACGGCCTGGCTGGGAGTTTGCCCCAGGATGAATATTGGGAGGCATGGTGTAGTTTCCAGGACAGCTGGAGCGTGCTCCAGTTGCTGAGTGCTGGGCATGGAGAGCTAAGTGGGGGACTGATTGCTTGTGGGGTCCTTGTTTGGAATCCTCTGGGCCATAACTTTGCACTCTAGTTAAGGCTTCATGGTAACCATGAGAAAAAGGCTGAAGACGGTTCTGAGATGCTGAACGGTGCAGCTTCAAACTGCCTTCAGGATGGGCATCAGCTACAGCCAAGTACAGATTGTTGTAAGAGGAATAGTTGTCGTTCCTGGTGTGGCTCATAAGACTGTCAGGACAGAAGTTGGGATTCCAACTATACATGCCCCGATCTGCTTCAGCCATGTAGTACTCTCTATTATGCATGCTGCTGATGTTCAGTTTGGAGAAGTCACCTAACACTGAATAGTAGCTATGGTCCCCCATAGACTCAAACTTTGGGTATTGCTCAGTATAGTTAATTGGGGTCCCATGGCTGTTGGTAACCAGGATAGGGGGGTACTGCATGCTGGCCATGTGCTCCAGTGAGGCCTTCTGGTGGGGAAAATGGGAGGATCCTGGCACTGGGCTGCTGGCCGAACGGGTGTTTAATGCACCCACTGCATGGCTTTTGGGGGGTGGGATTGTTGGGACACTTAGGGCAGTCACAAGTGATGGGACAGAGCTGGCCTCAGGCTTACGGGCAATGGTCAGCCATTCCTCAGGCTCCACAGCCACAGACCGGATGCTGGGATCTGACTGGCGCTTGGGTGCCACACGTTTTACCTCTGAGGTCATCTCACCTTTGACACTAGACATCCCTGTGCCACACTTGGCCAGGGTGTCTTCGCTCATGGTTTTCACTGTGGACAGTTTGGCACTGATGCGGAGCTCATCAGCCACCGAACGCTGGGGTTGGTTGGCCCGCTCCGGATGGTAGTATTTGCACTTGTGGCCGTAGGTGCATTTTTTGCCTGAAAAATAATGCCTTCGGGTAAGACTCTCTCTCATAGTGGTAGAAGGCTCTGTGCCAGAAACTGCTGTAACAATCTGGTCACAGAGGTTAGGGCTATACTTTTTGACACTGAGATAGAAAATTAACTGTCCACAAAGATGAGAGACAGACAACACCAAGGAGGCATCACACATTGTGAGGGGAGAATGAGGAAGTGGAAAGCTGGGGAAGAAATAGAAGTGTAAACACTAAGAACTGAGCCATTGAACAGCCTTAACTTTGCCTCTTAAAATGTACACATTGAGGCAGCCTAGAGTAATAGATGGCAGCATGGTGCAATGCAAATAACACAGGCTTGAAGACAAGTCAGACCTAAGTTTCAGCTTCAGCGATATCCTTTACTGGCCATATTACCTTGGTAAGTGACTATTTTCTGAGCCTCATTTCCTCTTCTACAAGAAAGCTTCATATTTGTGTATGTTTTAGGGTCATTTGAAAGATGAAATGAGATAACAAACATGAAACTACTCTGCAATTTAACATTAATAGAAAACAAAAAGCGAAACACCCCCCATAAAACCACTAATGATTATCCATAATAGTCTCAAACTAAACAGCCCATGTTGCCCTGTTAGTCCCACAAACTTGGGACTTGGGTAAGAACACAAGTTCAGTAGAGAAAACTATATCTTTAAAAAAATTAAAATGAAACTTGGAGGCAACTGGAAAGTACAGATGAGAAGAAAAGGGTATTACTAGTTGACTGAAGGAGTGACAGACATCCTTTCTTGCAGCCAAGCTCAGTCTGTCATTCTTTCTGTTTCCATAAGCCAGGCGAGTCTCTGAATTTCCCTGTTCCAAGCAGCATTGCTTAGTACTTAGGCAACTAGAGCCTACGTGTCATTTTAGGAAGTGACTACTAATATTCCCTTCAATTCCAGTTACCTTTTCCTCATGGAATTTCTAAGATTTTTCTTTAAATACCTGAGGGTACACGCAGATACAGACTTTAACTCATAGAAAGGGAACAGGCTAGGACTTCCCATTTGAAAGCAAAATCTGGAAAAGAAAAGTATTCAGAGTCCTTATGTTTCCCTTCGTACAGAACTCAGTTCTGCACATAGGTACTCACCATAAGGACATGGTTGCTTCTTATGCTCAGGAACAATAGGTCTTTTTCTTAAGAAATTTTCAAGGCTTGGGCCATGGCGTCCTAAAGGATCATCTGGAGGCATAAATCTGAAAGCAAGCAAGCAATGGTGAATTTCTTCCCTTATGTCCCCTTTCCAGAAGTTCAGACCTTCATTGCCTCTTATCTGTACTATTGTTACAGACTTCTAATTACCCTTCCTGCCTCAAATCTATCTTCTGTTAATTTATCAGTTCTTCCTTTTGTTTCTACTTGATCACGTAGAAAGGATGATTTTCCCCAGTGCATCATTCTTTCATAGATTATATGTTACAGCCATACTGGCATTCCTGCTTGGTTTCCTCAATGTGCCACCCTCTTTTACACCTTCATAGCTTTTTTCATAATGTCCCCTTCACTTGGCATGCCCCGAAGCCTTCTTTACTCTGTAAACTTTACTTCAAGTGTAATTTCCTCTGGGAAGACTTTTCTTTTCACTTCACGTATACAAAACAATTTAAAAATACATTAATTGTAGTGCACATTCAACACAGTGTTGTTGTCTTTTTCTCTTTTCCACTACACTTTGAGCCTCTTGAGAGTGAGAGTTTGTTTTGTTTTGTTTTGAGACAGGTCTCGCTATGTAGTTCAGGCTGGCCTTGAACTAACTGTGTATCCCAGGCTGGCCTCGAACTTTCAGCGATCCACCTGCCTCAGCCTCCTGAGTGCTGGGACTACAGGCATGTGCCACCATGTAGTCCCTGTGAGACTGAGTTTCTTATTCAATTTTTATTTGCATGACAACCAGCATAATGCATGGTACAGACTAAGTGTTCAGTAAATGTTTATCAAAATTAAATGAAATCTGTGCCGGGGATTTAGCTCAGGGGTTCCACTGCCTGCGTTGCAGGCACAAGATCCCTAGTTCGATCCCCGGTACCCCCCCCCCAAAAAAAAAGAGAAAAAGAAAAAAGAAAAAAGAAAAGAAAAGAAATCTGATCCTACTAGCAACTTGGATATAGACCATTCAGAGCCTACTGGAAAGAAACGCACTTGTCATTCACAAAAGAATACATCAGCAACCGCTCCTCGATAAACTTCTTCCATTCTGGCTTTTCGACTTGAAGGTCTCGGTAGTTGTCATTGGACACAATAATACCATCAGAATCAAAAGCTAATTTGACTATGAACCGGTCATCATAGCATACAACCCTTCTGCCTTGGACCCTTCGGGATGGTGTGAAGACAAGAATTTTTTCTTTCTCCAGTTTACGAAGAATATCTTGTTCTGTCAAAATATGATTATGTAGCACAGAATGGAAATCATCAGTTAACAGCATTATTACCATACTACAAATACAAAAGTTTAGTACTAGATAAATTTATTTGCCCTTAAGGAGTAAGTGGGTTTCCCTATCAGCTATGACATCAAATTGAATTGTGACATTAGGCAAGTAACATCCTTCAGATTTTAGTTTTCCTTTCAATAAAATGAAAGAATCAAATTTAATCATGTAGTTTTTTAAAAACCACAATGAAAAGTGAGAAATGACACTGATATCCTAATGTTTTGACTTTTGTTTTTGCCCTTTGGCTGAAACATCAGCTTTTCTTATTTTTCTGTTTCATTTGCCTTCCTTCATTCATTCGTTCATTCCTTCCTTCCTCCCTCCCTTCCTTCCTTGCTTCCTTCTCAGTTTTGGGGGAGTGCTCTACCACTGGCTTTGGAAGAAAACAGGGCAATAGTTGAAGATGTTTTTGTCAGGTGGAAAGTAAAGCATCACTCTTAACAGCAGATATTTTTGGCTTCTGCTTGAAGGAATGACAAAACTAAAGTGGAACATTAAGCTATAGCAATTGAATATTGAACCACTTTCCTTTTGGCCTCCTAATTTGCTTGAGGAGAGAAAGCTTGCTGGTTGGGCTTGAGCAGGGCCAGGATCTAATCTTAGACTGAGTCTTGGGAGCCTGTTCAGAACATGGTAAATCAGATAGCCAAGCACCGGATTTTCTCATTAGGCACATAAGGCAAGAGAAGATATTCAGAGAATTAGGGTCTATATGCTCTCAATGAGCATATATTACTTGTACTGTTCTAAGTGAATGCAGTGACTTTTATTGCCATTAGGAAGAGTACATCATGATTCCTGGAGACCTTAGACAATTCTGCCTTCATTCACTCCTTTTTTCATACTGGAATATTCAAAACTTCATTTTAGAAATTACATTGATATAAGGCCAAATATAATCCAAATTATTACACATTACTATACATGCATTGCATTATATTCAATTTTTTTGTTGTGAGATAAAAAAATATTTTGTGGGACTTGAAACATTGTTTCTAGGCACTAGGCCTACTGTGTCACATGGACAAGTTGCTTCTGTCTTGGAACTTTCTTTTTCTCTTTCATTCCCTAATTTGAAAACTCCATAATCACTTCTCTTTTTCAGAATAATATTCACTTTCTACAATGACTTTTTTCTTTCTACAATCCTGTCTGAATTAAGGTTGTCTCTATTTAGTTATCATATGCTACAAAACAATGATGAAAATCTACTTAATAAAAGATATTTTAAGTATACTTAACAACTTAGAAAAATAATTACCTAAATTGGGACCATCACACCCTCTCCAACCTATTTGACTAACTTTGACTCTAAAGAACAGAAATATCTAATTTGAAATAATACCTGTAATTGGTGCGTCAGGGCGGGATTGCTCCTTTCTCCATGCAGGCACAAATACAGTGATATCTTTATGACCTTTGTCTTGAAACCAATCCACAGCCAGTTGAATTCCTCTACAGGAGAATTCTTCTTTATTCCCATGGCTTTAGAAAAATAGAGAATAAGAGGCAAGAGGATTGACAATAGATAGCAAACAGGCCTTTTCTTAGTATCAAGGGATTAACAGCATTCTCTTTCTTTATGACACAAAAGAATGCATATTTAAAAGACCAAATAAAATTCCTTACATTCACTTGTTACAAATATTGCCATTATAAACTTTACTCAAGGCCACAAGTGGCTAATAACAACTCCCATTTTATAGCTACCATGGTAATTATTTTTATTATTCATTTCATTTTCTCTATTATCTTCTAGTTTTCCTGCCACATATTCAAAGGTTCATATATTCACAACAGATGAAGAAGTTTTACCAGAGGTTTAGATAAAGTTTATATTAGTGAGAGATGAATCTTAAACACATATTAAGCTTCAAAAATAACACTGACAGCAAAAAGACACATACATACCAGTATATGCTGACACGATAATGGGAAACAGGGACATAGATCTTTTGCAAATGGGAAGGACGCAAAGAGATTTTGGGAGGGAGGAGAGTGAAAGAGGAAGTAAAAGGAATTAAAATGTGTTACTTACATGTACCGACTCATGATAGCAGTAATCATTATTCACTATAAATATGTAATAATAAAAAATGCGGATGGAAAATATTATCACATGTATCCATTTAATCAAATACAATATACCAACAAAATCATATTCTTGAATTTTTAAAATGTAAAAATGCTTGTAATTTTAAAAGAAAATATATAGGTATGTGTGTATGTGTGTATGTAATTTAAGTATGCATTGTATTTAGATATGTAATTGCAACATTTTTTGTAATTGGATCTTGCTATTTTGTCTAGGTTGGCCTTGAACTTGGGCTCAAGAAATCCTTCTGCAATTACATACCTAAATACATCCCCAGTGAGTACCATAAAGCAATTGTATTCCACTCAAAGTTGAAAGCACTTAAGAAAAAATAAGGAAAATACATTCAACAGCCAATATACTCCAAGGTACCCTTAGAAATAGTTACTAATGATTGCATTTAAGAAACTGAACAAGAACAATGAAATTGGAAAAATCACTAGAACTACCATTTAGAAGAAGAACTTGGAAGAAGATAGAACGCCGTTTCTTTTGGTTTTGCATGTCTATAAAGTGTGATCTTGTCCTAAACATAGTCTAGATCCAGAAATAAAACAGGAATAATAGTTTCTGTTGAATATATATATATCTCCAAATTCTTTCTTTAAAATATTTTCATCATTACAAACATATATGCTTATAGTATAAAATGTGAAAAATACTTAACATATAAAGAAAAACCCCAAGACTGGAAACACTGTTAATTTCTGTTCTAGTATTAATTTCTTAATATACTGAGAGTTATGTTTTAAAATCTACCATACTATAGCATCCCCAAAGCATATATTAAAATTGTGTTATTGAAACACTGCACAAGGCACATCATTAAATGACCAGTAAGAATCAGAAGGCACTTTTAACATTTATCAAGGGGGCAATGCAGACCTACACAAGGGCCTTCTGTGTTAATTTTAGTCCCCAATAAATATTTAAGAAATTAAAATTTAAAACTGTGTAAAATACAATAATGCTTTCAAGATGACTTGTTTTGCTCAAATCATGGCATTTTGCAATCTAAAAAGTACAAAAAGCTTAGGAACTGCAACTCACATTGTATTTTGGTGTTGCTATTGCTCACTATCCTGCAAACTTGCTTAAAAACACATCATAATGAAGGGTTCTAAGCAAAATTCAGCATAGCAAATGAGTCATTGGACTCTTTCTCTCTCTGTAATGATTTTAGCACAGTTCAAATGTTTGAGTTTTTCCAAGACTTAGCAAAGAATATAGCGACTTTTACAGTTCAAAGTCTTACTTCCTATAAAACGTATTTTTCCTCTCAAAGGAGACAACTTTCAACATGAATGTTTCCTTTAAGATTGTAGCATAATATCTGAGCATATTCACACTATATGAATCACAGATACACCACTTCTGCAAATGTTAACTGCCATCAGTGGCATACAAAGCATCATAATTCCAACAGAAGGTTATCCGACATGATAAGAAACAACATGTTATAGGATAGTTTATCCGAGAAATAACAGTATCACAGTAAACATACAACTAACTAATGGACAAGGTGAACAAAACTTAGATTAGCAGAAATAAAAATTCATAAGCATCTTATAGCCCTGAACATTGACCATATGAAATATGAATAAAGGGGATTTAATAATAACTTACCTGGTCAGATAAAAAAGGAAATAAATGAAAACACAGTTGGCATTTTAAAAAAATCATGGTCTTTATGAAATATTTTAATATGTTCCTAAAAATTAATCATGTGAAGTACCTTTAATTTATCAAAGCAAGACACACAGAATACAAGAGTACGTTTTCCTGTAAGTATGACTGAAGGAATCTAATCACTGGCATCTTGATCTGAGCAGAGACCACTTTAAATCCCCTTTCCCTGCTATGCTTTTACACCTTGTTGCACATGCATAGTTATGGGTTGATAAGGCCCAGTAAGCACAGCTACACTCTATAATTCCCAGTCATTGTTCAGCCCTACTCTTGACCACATACAATTCTTCATATGTTCTTAAGCCCTGTGCCGGACAGAGAGCTACAACTCTTTGGTACTGAACTCTCCCCCTGGAAAGTCCCATTGTGACATTTTCATTCCATAACCTCTTTTTTCCCCCATTAAGTTTATTAGTACATTTAAAGCAAACAATACAGTTACATTTATCATTGGGATCTTGTACCTTTACATAATATATCTTGCTACAGCCTTTTTTATGTTCACGACTCCATAAAAGGCCTTATAGCCTGTTTGAAAGCTAGCCTGTATGACAGCTAGCTTGTCTGCTCTCTACTGCCAGAATGGTCCCTCTTAGATTTGTTCTGAAATAAACCTGTCCTCATACCTCTGTTTCTCTTCTTTGTTTCTTAACAATTATCATTTGTTAATGATACAGAGTAGATATGATGAAGCATATTGCCAAAGGAATGAATTTCTTCATTATTGTTCACAAAGCAAAAGAAAAATAATGTTCTTTATCATCAGTGACCTTTGAACAGAAGTCAAAAGAAATTTATTGTATATTATTACTACTGGTCTCTATTAATTGTGGTATAGTTGTTTCATTTAATATGGTTTTTACTCTATATCCATATCTGGTTTGTCTTTGTGTCATTAACATTGCTGAGGAATGTTTTCTACTCTTTGAGTGGTGCATCTCGGGATCAAACCCTCAAAAGAAGGCTGAACATTAAGAAGACCCTGTCCATAATTGATTAATAACTGAATATAAAGATATTGAAGTGGATGAAATAACAGAGAATTCAAGACTGATTTTTTAAATGATCAAGGACTTCAAGCAGGATAAAAATAAACAGCTGAATGATTTAATGAAGACATTGCAAATGTGAAGAAGAAATTCAACAAAGAGATAGAAATAGAAGACTCTAGGAAGATGGCAGAGAAGTAAGCAGGAACAAATTCACCTCTCCAAGATCCAGAATCTAGACAATGGAAAATAACAACTTAAGGAAGAGAAGAAGGAGGGAGATAGATTCCTGGGACACAGGAAAGATCTGAAGGGAAAATTGGAGCCCACAGAGAAAGTGAAGAGACAGACTTCAATGTAGAAAAAGGAAGGGGCAATCTACACTTTCTTCTAAGCTTCTGATTCATGGTGAGAGAAAGGAAGATAAAAATCTACAAGACACAGTGAAAACATGTGACTCCACAAGTCTCCAGGGAGAAAAACATCAGTGGAGTGGAGCAGTGGATGCTGTGTATTACAAAAGCTGGTGACTCCAATCCAACTGACTGTAATGTCCACTGGACACAGTGCTTGGTTAGATGCCATTTTATTTAGGAGCAAGTTGAATTTGGATCTCAAAACAACCATAGATTGGTTTCATCTCAGGACTTTCAATGTTAAAACCCCACAGTGATTGAGTGAGGGACAACCACAGAAGATGTCCAGGGTCACAGAGCCGTGGTCAGGCCAGCAAAAGACACCCAAAGTGTTATAAGCTAATGATTCAAGCCACAACCCTATGACAAGAGGACAAGATCAGCCTGAATTTCTGTGGATTTTGAAGTGCCAGAGCCAGCATCTTGCACTAATTAATACAGCTTCAGGCTTTCTAGGATTATCCAACATCCCACCCTAATCTACTGTCGAATGTTATCCAGCACAGATCTGGGCTCTGACTGTCTCCTTTGTCTACCAGTGAGAGCAGAGCCACATACTGAACTGGACATACCACAAAACTCTAGATGTCAGAAGATAATCGCAGGATTGAAATCACAGCAAAAATTTTTCCTTCAGTTTTGTGTTTTTGTTTGTTGTTCATTTGGTTTATTTGTTGTTTTTTTTTCATAAGTGTGAACATTGATTTTAGTTATTTTTAATTTTTTGGGGTTCTTGTTTTTGTTTTTTCCTTATTTCTTTCCCTCCAAAAAGTGGAGGTGGCTGCATCTAGAGTGTGTGATGCTGGAACTAAGAGTGGCCCACCCTGGCTATGAGTGCCACCTGTCCAAAGGGCAGGCAGCCTGGATGGAATATAAGGGATAGAAAGCCTCATGTAGGAAACCTACTTCTTCACTACCTTGCTGCTTTGCTGCCTTCTGCCCACTATGAACTGTTTCTCCTCTGTGATGCCTCTCTGCCATGCCACCCTGCCTTGGAGCCAGCCAACTATGGACTGATACCATTATGTACTGTGAGCCAAATAAACCTTTCATCTTTTGAGTGTCAAGTATTTTGTCTGAGCAACAAGAAAAGTAAGACAATTACCGAATCAAAAATAGGCATTTTTATGTTCTTTTAAGATAACGATACACAGTGCACTTACCATTGTTATTTTCTAATAATTTTGTTATAAAAATTATTTTTTCATAGAACTGTTATTTTATTAATATCTACTTGTATTATGTTAAAATTAAAATGTGCATCTAAAATGAATTGACATTCCTCAGATGAAGAAT